AATTGAGGAAAAGGACCTTGTAGAATTGTTTTTAAAAAGTACTGGTAAGATAATACACTATTTACATAATCAATTATACAAAGAGATTACCAACCTGGTTTAGGTGAATCATTGGGAAAACATTTTGCATGACATTCATGAGAGAAGTATTCGAAACAACCATACCCTGTAATAACATGTCAATTTAACTATACGAGTGAAAACTAAGTATAATGAAACAATTATTACTCAACTGAAATATTTGGATTATTACCGATGGATATGATGTTGGGAAATTTCCAACTCCACTAGCTTGAGGTGCACGAGATGGCAAGGAATGAAGATAAAACTAGATGAGATCATCTATAACAAATAAAAGTACAAATTAAGAAGTCATTTTTACATACTTGGTGTAAAGTTGGATATTGTGCAGTCCTTTCTAGATTCATATGTTCATGCCTAGTATTTGATTGAGACTTTTTCCCTACAAAGACAAAATTCAAGAATAAGAATATAAAACAAGGAGTTGGTTAAATGAGTAATGAAAAATAAATTCTTACTTGATGAGACTTTTGATGCCTTTGGTTTGCGCTTTTCAAAGTGTCCTTTTTCTCTTGTGTAGTTTAGTCCTTTGGACTGAACACATGGAGGATCTAATATCGGTTGCTCGTTTTTCCCAATTTCATCAGCCTCTTTGTCAATATGACCATCCAAGTCCACTTTGTCCAACTCCTGCTCTAGCTTTGTTTCAAGACTCAACAGACTTTCTTGAAATACTTTTCTGATGCTTTCTGTGTGTTGGCTTTTGTATATGAGATTGCTAGCTATGCGCATCATGGAGTTTCTCCATACAATCTTTGCATCTTCATTGATCTTCATAGAAGCATATCCTTTCTCAAATCCCATCATCCCTTTTTTGCTTCTTTTGTCCAGCGTTGCAAAATATAATTGTTAGGCAGTTTTGTGATGTTCTTGACACTAAGGATGCGTAAAGCATGGCAGCAAAGAATTCCTTTCACCTCAAACTTCTTGCAGGAACAAAGAATTTCATTATTCTGTTCATAAAAACGAACAGTACGAGCTCTATTGTGCCCCTCTTCTTTCACCTCATAGGTAGATACTAAGTCATTAGTATCAACTTCTCCCCAAATTCTTGCTAGGCTAGAGATAAATTCTTTTTGAAACACCAGATACATAGTCCTGGTATAGACATTTGCAGCATGCTCTAAGAAACCATACTTAACCAATGGCTTTGGAGTACCTTGTTTGCATCGAAAGTCCTCTTCTAGCTCCCTCGAACGCATACATGTAACTAAATTGTCTTCCCTGAGATGCCATTCAAAACATTATTTTTGCTTTCACTTCTTTGAGAAGATTTGATACCAGTAGAGAAAAAGTCATGACCAAAGACAGTACTCCACTTCGAACGAATCTGGTACATGCTATTAAGCCAAGTATGACCAGAAAGATCGTAGATCCCAATCATCTTATCCCATGTTTCTTGAAATTCCATCTCTGACTCACAGCCTGTACAACACTTATTCCACAATGCTTGAAACTTTGAATCCACATTCATATCCCCCAAATGTGAAGGAGCGTTTTTGCTGATGTGCCATAAGCACAAACGATGCTTTGTGGTTTTAAACACTTCTCTAATTGCCTTTGCCATAGCAGCATCTTGATCTATGAAGATAGTCGCGGGCTCTATATTGCCCATTGACTTTAGAAAGGACTCAAACAACCACTTAAATGAAGCATCAGTCTCATCCAATAGAAATGCACAACAAAATATAACATTGCTCCAATGATGGTTCACACCGACAAATGGAGCACAAATGAGATTATACTTGTTGGTGCAGAAGGTAGTGTCAAATACCATCACATCTCCAAAAGCATCATAGTCAATTTTCGATCTTCCATCTCGCCATAAAAAGTTGGTCAATCGATTATTTTGATCAACTTGCACTGCATAAAAGAACATTGGATCTTCTGCTTTCTTCCATTTTAAATAATTCATTAGACTTTGAGCATCCCCTGCTTCAACTTTTACCATCTTCTGTCTATGCACATGATTAGAACAGTCTTTCTGTAAAAACCCAACATTTTCCTCTCCTCCATGTTCTGTGGATATATATGAATAAACATCTTTTGTCCTGAGTCCTGCCTTCTTCATCGTATCAATTACACCTGCCTTGTCTTTTGAAATCTTACGACCAGATTTCAGCAAGTGTCTTTCTGATGGTGTAGCAAGATCATGATTATGTGTGGACTTGAATTTAGTTACTTTCCACACATCATTCTCAATGGTGAGTCGGATAAAAGCTTTGCACCCAGTTCGTGTTTCCAACCTATTGGCCTTTTTCACCTCAAATGGATTTTCATCATTCGTGATTCCTTCCTTGGAACATAGAAACTCACGTTGACTAATCTGTCCAGTTTTACTAGAATACCTGTATCTACCTCGACGTACACTGAAACCAAGTCGTAAAGCATAGCTATTGTATAGATTATAAACTTCATCTTCATTAGAAACGATCTTCCCATATAAATTGTCATCATCACAATCCGCCATCCGTACTGGAAATAGTGCAACCTCATTGTTTTCGATATCCATTATACCAACCCAACATTGGCATTCAGGATACTCACTTCTTTAACTAGTGGTGAATTAAAAAAAATATTGTTAATCAAAGTGCAGATTCCAAGTTCATCATGAAATCTCAAAGAAAGGACAATGTGGGATCACGACAAAGAACCAATATTACTATTATAAATTATACAAAGCTATACTTCTATTATAAACCAACCGTATCATGCAATGAGGAATACATACCTGGGGCAGTAACTATATATGCACCAGAAACTTCAACAGGGATAGGTGGTGGATACTCGCCGGCGAAGAGACTTTTCAGTTTTAGTCGAACTATTATTTTGTAGGGTTTATCATCGAGGTATTTAGCTTTACAGGGATAATTAAAACCTAATTAAACCAACAAGTTCTGGCAAATGGCACGCCACAAGTTGTCCCCGACTCCCGCAAGGCCGCAACGCAGAAAGGAAAGAAAAGGGTCCTCGAGCTTGATCAGCAGCTCTGCGCGCTCGACGGGATTGGGCGGGTGCACCACATCACTTTGCCAAGGTGGTACTCCCGTCCCACCTAAGATTTTCTCGCTTCTGGAGGGTAGGAAAAAGAACTGAATAGCTTAGAATTAGTGATTGAAGGGTGAATTCATTAATAAGGGAGCTTTGCTGGTAGTTTGTTATTTCATGATGGACCAACTGAGAACGTGCGTCAAATGACGTTAGGAGAGGCTGGTTGCATAACTTAGCAAATGAGGAGACACGAAAGTCAGGGTGTGCGATTTGGGTTCAAAAGGCTATGGCACTAGGATGTTTACTCAGGTGCGTGGTTTAAGGGGCTAGTTAGTATTCCATTCTGCATGATTTATTATGTTATTTGATGATGCATTCTACTTGAGTTATATGATATGCTCTTACATGCTATTTACAATTGAGTACACACTTATAAGATTCATGTTTAAGCTACGAATTATGTTCATTTTTCAAGTTATGCAAGCACGTCATTACATTGCATCACAAAGTTATGTTTTAAGACAAGGAAAAGCAAGTTACTTTATAGTATGCTTAGCTTATATCTTCCAACTGTGTGGATGATCAGTTTGAGCAATCCTACTCGATTATTCAAGTTTACAAGCATGCGAGGACAAGTTGTAAAACTCATCTAACTAGCTACCTATGCGACCACCTTCCTTCCCATTGCGAGGAAGTTTATCAGGTTATCAATCTTATCAGGTTTCCTTCCCATTGTGAGGAAGTTGATCTTATCAAGTTTATCAAACTCCATTCCCATTGTGAGGAATTTATCAAGTTTATCAGGTTTATCACGTTTTGGTGGTCGTACGATTGCGCTAGCTAGTTAAGTCGAGTTTGGGGGCCCTCTTATCAAGAAAACCTTTTCAAGAAATCATTTTCAAGTCAAGTAAATGTTTTAGTGCATTGGCATTTGCACGCATTATGCATGTTGAATGATTTTATTTAAAGAATGGAATTAGGATTAGGACTGACCCCAACGCCCGCACTAAGGAATCGCAGGATTACCAGCAGCTCACTTAGGGAGGGCGGATAGATCACGACAAGGTTCACGGCTCAAGAGGACACCTAGTATGTGAAATTCAATTCTCATGTACTTAGTAGGATTGAGACTTGATGCACATTTATTAAAGATATTTATGATTTTCGCTTATGCAAGTTTCATGAAACTGCTATTTGAATTTCAATGTATTTTATTAGTGATATTTAAGAAAAGTTTCTGCCATTTTGCAAGTCTTTTTCGATTCTTATTTTGGTTAACGGCTTAACAAGGGCATTTGAGTAAAAGTAGTACCCGGCGGGGTTAAGGTGTTACATTACTTTAAAAAAAAGGTAAATACAATTTAATATCCAAACCTTTCATTTTAAACAATATAATAGCCAAACCTTTTCGAAAACAATCTAATATCCAAATCGTCAACTTTTCGTTCGTTTGGCCGTTAGTTGACACTTCAAAAAAGCTTTGTTTAGGGAAAATTGTCACAATACAACTTTGTTTCTTGTTTTGGCATTGCAGATGATTGAATATTTAGATATTCTATACCATCATGGTGGAGTCATGGACTTCTCGGGTTTGGAACTACGATATGTTGGTGGTTTTTCAGAGAAGATATCGATGGATATTGATGAAGTGTCGTACTTCGAACTTTTTTGAAGTGTCAACTAACGGTCAAACAGACGGAAAGTTGACGATTTGGATATTAGATTGTTTTCGAAAAGGTTTGGCTATTATATTGTTTAAAATAAAAGGTTTGGATATTAAATTGTATTTAAAAAAAAACTTACTCTTTGGGCCTGGGAGGTTCCTAACTTCCTTTCATGGATCCAAAATAAGATTTCCAATTAGCCCACACCCGGCGGAGTTCCTGAATCACTTTAAGACAGAAATAAGCGACGTACATTACGGAAAGCCCAAGAGTGTTTATTAACTTCAGTTCAACCAGGCAACCAGCCTTCCGCTTTTGGCGTGCGGTCGTTGCTTGCTTCTCTAACCCAGCCTCCGTTGTTTGTTCTGGAACTCTCTCTCAAAAAATCTCATCCCTCCCTTCCATGGCGACAATCAATCTGTCTCCATTACAAGCCTCCCCTTCTCTCCCCTTGCTCTATTCGACTCCCGCTCAAGCTAGCGCCAAGCTGTCGTTCAATTCGCCCATCGCAAAACTATCCACTTCCTTCCTTTCCCTTTCCTTTAGACCTAGTAGCCGTACAACTCCTCGGCGTCGTGCTTCCTTCGCCGCTGCCTCTGCAGCGCACAAGAGTCTCTCCGAGGCAGAGCTGTTGCCCGTTCCTCCATCTCTGGAGGAAATCGTCGCAAAGTTCCCGTCGGAGTGCGGCGTTTATGCCATCCACGACAAGAACGGGGATCTCCAATTCGTCGGCATCACGAAGAATCTGGCCGCCAGCGTCGCCACTCACTCCAAATCCGTGCCGGACCTTTGCTCCGCCGTTAAGGTAGTAGGAAGTTACTTTACTGCTCATCCTGTTTTGCAATAATTACATTGAAATGGTTACGGAACTAGCTAATTAGGGTATACAATATAGAGAGATTGAGAAATGAATTAGAAGAGGAGGAAATGAAATTTTCGTTGTAATGTTTGAAGGTTGGGGTAGTAGAAGAGGCTGACAGAGATTCCCTGACGAAAGCATGGAAATCATGGATGGAAGAGCACATAAAAGCCACGGGGAAAATTCCGCCGGGTAATGAAAACGGCAACGCCACATGGGTCAAGCAGCCTCCGGCGAAGAAGAAGAAGGCTGACCTTCGCCTGACACCAGGGCGACACGTCCAGCTGACTGTTCCACTGGAGGATTTGATTGACAGATTGGTGAAAGAAAACAGAGTGGTGGCATTCATCAAGGGCTCGAGAAGCGCCCCAATGTGTGGATTCTCGCAGAAGGTAGTGGGTATTTTGGAGAGCCAAGGTGTGGACTACGAGAGTGTTGATGTGCTCGACGAAGAGTATAACTCTGGGTTGAGGGAAACCTTGAAGAAGTACAGCAACTGGCCTACCTTCCCGCAGATTTTCGTTCAAGGGGAGTTGCTTGGCGGCTGTGACATTCTGACCTCCATGTATGAGACTGGAGAGCTTGCCGGATTGTTGAAGAAGTGAGCTGTATGTATAAACCCTTGGTCTTGGAAGGGTGGGCTAGGAAGCTGAAATGGGGTTGCTCACGATCGCCTAGTGAAAGGAGTAATTTGGGTTGTTTCATGGGGTTGGAATTGGAGACTAGGTAAAGTAACAACACACATTTGCTTGCGTCAAAAGACATTGAAATCGCTCCTGTTGAATTAGTTCTTGGTCTGGTTGACGGCTTAAAATTGCCAATGTACTTTCTCGTTGCATGGAGAGATCAGATTTAGTAAACCAACTTGTTTACTGAAAATGCATGATACAAAAGGTCAAAATAGTTTCCAAACACGAACTGGTGAGTGGTGATCGTGTTGTTTATGACCAGAGAGTATAGTTTCAGTCTGAAGTGACATACTCCCACGGCGCCTGAGATAGATGCATGAGATTGGTGGTTCGATGATTATTGGCATTTGGAGTTTTTAGCAGGTCCCCCATAGTAAAAATATGTAGGTGCCCCAAATTTTTTTTACTGCGATCTTAAGCTTTCAAGAAGTTGTAGCAGGTAGGGCTGGTAACGGGAGTTGATGTGAAGCTGCCATCAGTGCGACCTAAAAATATATACGGAGAATCGGAGATCCATGTTGTTTCGGGGCAGCTATTGCCCACCAATCGCATACTTTTTGTTTTGTTTGAATGAAGATTGAAGCTTAAGAAATTGAAGCAAAATTCCGTTTACCAAGTACCAACACAACCGCCAAAAGTAAGTCGAGTAAGTAAACAAGCAGCAAAACAGAAGTTCATCAACATCATGCTTCCCATTCTCAAGGGAAGGGGTGATTGGATGAAGGAATTATGTGCTGCCTCAATTCGTTATCAAGGAGGTGGAGAGACTATGTAATGAGTTACTGTGGGATTCAGCTGAAGATGGAAGTAGGAAAAAGACAATAATAGCTTGGGATAAGTTGGCAGCTCCTAAGAAGGAGGGAGGATTTGGCATTAGGAACTTTAGTGTATGGAATAGAGCTTGTGTCTTGCGGTACTTATGGGAAATCCTTACTCTGGGTGGCTCTCTCTGGGTTGCCTGGGTATCTAGATACATAATGAAAGGTAGAAGTATTTGGGAGATCTCAGCTACTTCTGCAGGGACATGGATCTGGAAAAGGCTATTGAAATGCAGGTCAATTGCTTACCCATTTGTATCTAGGAATGGAAACTGTATGCTGTGGCAGGGGGAGCAAATGAAGAAATTCTCGGTCTCTAGGGTTTGGAATGACATCAGGGAGAAGAACCAAGAAGTGTTGTGGTGGAGGTTAGTTTGGGCGAAGGAAATCATTCCTAAGCATGGTCTGATACTATGGCTAGCTATCCACAGGAGGCTGGTAACCCAAGATAAGTTGTTGTCTTGGGGCAAACAAGTATCTAGTTGTTGTTTATTATGCCCAGGAGGTAAGGAGAGTAGAGATCATCTTTTTGTGCACTGCCCTTACTCAGTGTTTGTGTTGAAGCTGTGTATGAAGAGTCAAATAACCCCCAATAATAGGGAGCTGGGAAGAGACAGTAGTATGGTGTGCAAGGGAATGGACGTCGCAGAGTGCTAAATCACGATTATGCAGAGTTTTTTGGAGTGCTGTTATGAGCCATATCTGGCGAGAAAGGTGTTCTCGGATGTATGGGTCAAGAACGATTAAAGATTCTACTACGTTGGTAAAGTTGATACGTGAGGAAGTACTCTATCGAGTGAGTGAAGATCATGCCCTTTAGTTAGAGTTTGATAGTTTGCAGTAGTGTAGATAGGAGTGGTTTGTAATCCTATTACTTAGGATGTTGTTAAAGTTTGAGAGGTGATGCAGGGTTTCCTGTATGTGGCCCGGTTCTAATGATAATTTTTTATTTCACATAAAAAAAGATTTCTTAATTTTGTCGTCATTTCAATATTCTATCATTTGTCAACATTTATTCATCTAAACGACCTCAATTTTCTCTTAATTCTTAGGTTTAATTCACCCAGAGGCGGACCTGTTTAGTGCCAAGGGTAGTCAGTTGACATACCTTGGCCAAAAAATTGAAACAAATTAGCACATTATAAAATGTATATAGTTGTTAGTAGGATTTGAACCCTTGACAATTTGACAATCCTTACACCTAATAGAAGTTATGTTGAACCACTATCCAATTGTTGTTATAGACATTCCAAAGAAAATATATAATGATACAAATTAATTCCCGTCTAATCTACCGAATCCAAGTCCCATTAAGATTTGATTAAATCTGCTTCTCTTTTTAGGGAATGAAAACTCTACCCCAATAAAAAGACAACTCTCACAACATAAGTGATGAATATATTATATGATAACACGTCGTGGTTCGATATGAGATACGATGAATCGATGTACTTTATGAATTAAACTTTTTAATTTTATTTTTAATTATTTATTTATTTTTGTGAATACCCTTGACAAAATTTCTGAGTCCGCCACTGAATTCACCCGCATAGCCATAACTTTCACAGTTTTGACAAATATAGCCACTTTTTGAAAAATACACAAATATAGCCACACTTTTGAAAATAAATTGACAACTTTAGCCATTTCCGTTAAATACTTTAACGCCGTTAGTAACTCTGTGAAAAACTTGGATGTTATGCTGATGTTGGCAAAACACAGGAAGAGGATTGAGGAGTTGAAGAGCGAGTTGACAAGAACCCCAATTCGAAGAGAAATTGAGGGTCGCAGAGAGAAGGTCCGTCAAAGTAGCAGAAATGGAGTTGCAGAAAGAGGATTAGAAAGTGAATGCTTTGTTGAAACATATGCTTATTGAGATTGAAAATAGAGTAGAAAAAATTGGTCGTTCAATGGAGAGTGGTGGCTATTGGATCTTTAGGTTTATGGTTTTTGCAGCTACCACAACATACTTCTATCTTAAAACGAGGAATCATTTATTGATTTAATGAAGTAGCTCGATTTTTTATTCAACCTACTTGAACAGATAGATAAGGAGTGAATGACCCACGTCTTATTACTTTGATCGAGTCTATCAATATATTGGAGGTAACCCATTTTTGTCGTTTGCTCTTAAGTTTTGTTGGTCCCCTTTTAGCTGAGTTGTTAGTATATAGTTGACTTGAACCTACAACTCTCAATTTTTGAGAGAATTGGACCATTTATGTAGGATTGTGAGGTTTTAGATTCAGTTTCAAATATCTATGAGTCGTGTGGGAATTCCAGTGCGCTTTTATACAGTATCTTTCTTAACAATCAACTAACTAATAACATTTTAACTGGTTTAATTATCGTTATGAAAATGGGATCAATGATACATTTTATATTCTCAAATGATGATGATATTTCTCTGAATGTTCGACATATATATTCTTTCTTTATGTATCATCTCGATTGAAAGATTGTCAATAAAATTCAACAGGTTGATAGACTTTAACGTAACATAAAAAATATAAAAAATCAAATATTAACATTCCAACCAACAGACCGGATTATAACCTAGTAATAATTATTATTATTATACTTGAACAATTTTCAAGATGGAGTCCGACAGGCAAGCTCCATCTCTTACACTTCGACCTCAATCAAATTCCTTTTTTTGTGCCACCCCAAGGGTCTAAACTTTAAACAGGACCATCATACTTTGTGATACGAAGGTATTAGGGGATATCAAACTCATTGACGCAATCTTACAGTCAATAAAGCTTTGACTATGACGATATGTGCAAGAATAAATCTTTACGCTATCCCTTTACAGGTTAATATTAGGGGAATTTCCGGACAAGTACGTTGTCAGATCCTTTGAATCTCCAAATCGAGACTTCTCAATCAGTCGTGACGACGGAGACATCCAGCCTCTCGACGGTACGCCCCCGTTGCCCCGTTTCCTGTGTCCGAATTGATGTTCAAATTGAACAGCAGCAGCAATAATAATGTCCAAATTGATCCATCAACCAGGGTGCCCCCATCTCTCAGACTATATGATCTGCACCAGTTCATTTCCTGCTGTTCGAAACCGACAGATTGACCGGTGCTCATTCTTCTTTTTCTTTTCTTTTTGCAGAAGGAGGTAGAGAAGGCTACGATTTTGCTGGGTGATAGAATTGTTCTGGACCTTCCTACTGATGAGAAGGGTATGAGGTTGTTGGCTGAAGCAGCAAGCACATAGATATTCTCCAAGTCTTTCCTTTTCTTTATTTCCATGCTTACAATCCAATCATCTCAGCAATGCATGCGTATTTTCCCATTTACCTGCCGGTGAAAGGGACAGGTCAACCATTGCAGACCTCATCAAGAAGTTGCAGTTGAGAAGGCCAACAATGAACAAATTTTGAATTTCACACAATCGCAGGAAGATGCAGATAGGCTACTCCGTGGAGACATTACGACGTCTGAGACCAGACCATTACCACAAGTGTGGAAGAGGAAGAAAACAGCTCTACTTGTACTGCTGTGGAGGGTGCCAATCCAGATGAAGGAAGGATTAAGGCTTCAGAAGTCAAAGGAAGGCTGACGGCACTAATACTAATGCTTCTGCAGCAGGGAAGAAAGGAAAGGGAGCCAAGAACATGAAGGGCTAAGGGGGGAATGCCGTGAGGAAGAACAAGAAGAGTAGCTAAGAAACTGTGGTTGCTAGTAGGCAACTCACTTCCAGTCAGAATGTCCTTGTTGCCTATGCCAAGCTTTTGGACTTCTCTCCAATCGTTTCCAGTCAGAATTGGTAAACGGGGTCATTACCTAGTTTAAGCTTTTAATCCGTGTTTGAAATGTTAATTAATGATTCAAGAGACTGGTTTTAAGGTGAAGAACTTGAACAAGTAAAGCATCTGGAAGACTTCTGGAAGCAATCGGTGACTGAAACCACACTACATTCTCTCTGGTTTTTATCCAAGTAACTTGTTCATTGAACATGACCGATTGCCCCTAAAGAAACACTGACCCCTAATCATTCTTCTATACTGATTCAAGAAGGCTATCCTCGGGGACACATGATCTAATTGGAACAAACAAAGAGATTCAAGAAGGCAAGTTCATTCATAGCCACCATTCAAGATGCTGGAAAGATAACAACAGGCCAACAAACACATCTTAACATTTCAACTAATCAAAAGCGATCACAGCGGTTCAACAATCACGAGAAAGCATCAGCATCTAAACCTACACCAATAACTGAGCAAGAACCATAAACACCAGAGATGCCAATATGGTTTAGGAAGCCTCCTAATCTCTCAATCAAACCAACAAAGCATAATGCAGATGAGAGCCACTACGCACCATAGGTTCTCCATAAGATAAAGCAGTTGGAACATACAACGCATCCACATAAATTTAAAAACAGAAACATGAGAACATAAAACTTGTTAGATGATGCTGTCTTCCTTCATGAAATCCAACTTCCTCCTAGCTGCTGCTACTGTCCAGGATCATCTGAGCCTGATCAATGATCAATTGTTTCCTCTTAACAAAGTGCTCCAAAGCTTCGATATCGAGCTCCTTCCATCTTCTAGCAAGCTCGTTTCTTTTTGATCCATCCACCATGTCCATTCCCTTGTTCACCACAAAGGCCTCAACTTCTGCATCAGCTGGGCTCCAATCAAAGATTAACCCATCTTTCTGATCATTGACCCCATCGATTTCCATCGTTTCCCCTCCTTCGTTCCCTGATCCCAAAGCAGCACGAGTTGCATTTTCATGTCCATTCGCTGCAACCAAATCAGCATCCTTAGATGCACTTTTACTGCTACCTACAACGTTAGCACCACTGCTCTTCTTCGCTTTTCCGCTTGACTTACCGATAGCAATTCGACCTAGAAGAGATTCTCCCTGGCTGTCCCAGATCATCTTCGACAGGTCGAAAGTTTTCTGGTCATGAGCTTTGCTAAAGCTCTTGTCCAAACCATTCTTCCCTTTGGCGTGATTCTTGAATTTCTTCCTCAATCTGACCACTTTCTCCTTCAATTGAGACAGCGACACATCCACAGCAACAGACTTCTTGATGAAATCATAAAAAACCGCCAAGTCCTTCAAAGGATCAGCTCCTTTCTTCTCAGCGAACTCGATCAGCCCATTCAACAATGCTATCTCGTCGTTCTCACCCCATAGCCGCTGGAAGAGCACTCTTGGCGTATATTCGTTCTTACCGTCGCCTTCTGCGTCGCCTTCCACCACCTTTTTCTGCCTCTTGGAGTCCTTTGCTTCCCTTTCAGTTTCACTCGCCCTCTTTGTCGCCGGCGTAGATTTTGAGGAAGAGGCAGGAGCCGCGGTACGCACTTGAGCTTTAGGCTGGGGCTTGGAAGCGATTGGCTTCACGTTGTGCAGAACCCCAGAGCTCTTCGGCGGCGGGACAGAGTCGGAATCCGTGTCTGATTCGTACTCGGAGTCGGAATCGGGTTTCTCAACAGTTGGATTCTTCGGTTGAGGATGGGGAGGCAACGTTCTCACCTGCGGCGGCATTTCTTCGGCGGAAGAGGCTTCATCGGTGGAGGAACTGTCTTCCTCAGAAGAAGCAGCTGGAGGGTCTTTTTTCGGATTCGGCCGCTTGGAAGCCATGGGAGATTCGCAGAGCTGCAGTGTAGGCGTGTAGCGCTAGGGCTTGAAGATTTGGGAGAATAATTTAGACAAACTGGGGATTGAAACTTGAAAGTTCCGTCTGTAAACCAAATATATAGGAGATGTATTATAACTTATAAGACACCTAAAGTTAAAATATATAACAAAATGGTCTCTGTATTATATTTTATTATAGAAAAGATGTACAGATTTTTTAACATATAACAAAATGGGCCCTGCTTCACCCTTCCCTCTAGTAATGGCAACTACGTGGAAATCGGTACGGTATTGGGGACCGAAATTCTGAATATCGAATTACACCCTGGAATCAATCTCAATCTCAATCTCTAAATAATTTCGGTATCCCAATCTCAATTCCTAAATATTTCGATATCACAATCGGTATTTCGGTATCCCAATCGGTATTAACGCATACAAAAGTAATCACCTTTATAAATAATAATTAAATATATATATTAGATTTGATTGTTTAATATAAGTCAAGAAGACTAAACAAAGAGTTTTGAGTTTGGCTAGAGCTAGGATATGGATAAGGAGAGTGGAGTAGAGGTGGCATCTCAAGTTATTATCATTCGTAAACTTTAATTTGACGAATTGGAGGCTGAGAGAAGACTAATACTAGTGTTTGCTTTTTGGTGTTATGAAAATAACAATATATTGGTGGTTGAGGCTAGTGTAGTAGTGAATGAGAGAGTCTAGTTGAGATGATAAAAATACACACTAGCTTATATTTCGGTATTGTTCGGTATTTCGTATATACCGATCCCAATCCCGTAATCCCTAATACCGAATAACAATTGAAATTGAATCCCAATCTCAATCCCAAGAAATAATATGTGTATTCGGTAATACCAAATATAGACAATTTCGGTATGGTTTCGGTATATCCCAAATACCGGTACAAAACCAGCCCTAACTACACCCGAACCCACGATTAGGGGTGAGCATTGGGTGGTTGAAGGGACTAGTTAGTATAACAACACTTATTTTGTTGTTAGGACAACACTAGTCTCCAACTAATAGAAAGCTAGAGTTGTGATAACTTCTTATTAGTTAGGTTGATCTAGTGTAAAATCAATGAAAAGCTATAATTGTCATTATGAATATTATGTTTAAATAATAATAATTAATAAAATTAATAATGCAAAGATAAAATAATTAATTTTATATTTATTTTTGGTCCTAAATTTCATCACCGGAATATGCTAAACACCATCGGAATTCAATCATCGTGGCCGGAATATGCTTATCGGTGTCGGAATCTAGCCATCGAGACCAGAATATGCTTATTGGCGTCGGAATCCAGTCACTGACACTCGTCGGAGTTTGGTCAACGGTTTTCGTTAACCGGGCAACGCTCAATGATCACCGGATGTTATGGTCTGCATTGTGAGATTTATGGTTTGGTTTCTCGTGTTTTTTCTACCCCATTTGTGGTTTGCTTTATTGTGTTTTTGGTTTGCATTAAGAAGTTTCTCGTGTGCTTTCAAAAACTTTGTGGTTTGTTTTGTGAGGTTTCTCGTTTGTTTTAATATATTTGTGGTCTACATTAGGACATTTCTGGTTTTCTTTTTGTGGTTTCCTTTACCGTGTTTGTGGTTTTCAATATAAGGTTTCTGTTGTACTTTCAAAAAAATTGTGGTTTGCTTTGTGGGGTTTCTGGTATTTAGCTTTAATATTAAGTTTCTAGTATGTTTCTCGTTTGATTTGCACCTGTTTTGCTCCCGTTTTACTTAGGTGTTTGTGCCAAATTCACTCTTTAAAGATGGTTTTACGCTAGGTTCTTCGTGTTTGAGTGTGTTTCAGGATTTAACAGGTGAAATCAGCCTCGGAGTTGAAAGATTGACGAAAAGGATCGAAAACCGGGAGAATAGGTGAAAAAGAGCCAGTTCACGGCTAACCAAGGGAGTTCACGGTCTTGCATGACCGTGAAGAAGAGGAGTTGACTCATGAGGCGTCCAGAGCCAAAGTGAAGGTTACTAACGCAAGGTGAGTTCACAGTCACTAAGACCATGAACTCGAGTGAACGATGCGGAGCGTTTTGGCGCACGCTAGCAGTTCATGGACGCGTTTCATGGTTCACGATCGGGAACTCAGGCCGTGAACTCAGCTCATCTTTGGTTTATAAGATGAGCTGAAAGGAGGAGAGAGGGGAGAGTCCACTTTTGTGTGAAAAGCCTTATTCAGCATTCTAGTGAGAGAAACACGACCTAAGGGGAGAAGAAGGTTAGGGTTTGGCTTCAAAGCAGATTTTGGGAAGATTTCCTCCAAGGAAAGCTCAACTCAAGGGCCAAGAAGACTGAGAGCATCCTCAAAGATGGTTTCCACCTCTTTCCCTTTTGTTTTTCCCACTTCTAGCATGGAGTAGACCTCCTTTCACTTGGGTGTAGTGAAACCCTAACTCTACCATGTAGTTTTCTTGTATGTGTTTTGGATGATTTTCATTGGGTATTGTTCAATTCAATGATTGAGGCATTATTTATCATGATTGTGCATGCTTGTGCTTAGCAACCTAGGGGTTGTACATGTTTTGTGCTTAGCATCCTTAGGTTTGTTCATTTAGGTGCTTAGAAACCTAAGGATTGTGCATAATTGTGCTTAGCACCCCTAGGTTTGTGCATTGAGGTGCTAGCAATCTAATTAGCCACCTTAGCCTAGCTTAGAGAGGGAAATCCCCCTTCCAAGGGAGACTCAATCGAGTTGGTTTTCCTACCTCTTTCTAAGCCAACTAAGCTAGGTTAAGTTAGGGTAACCCTCAATATTGAGTTAAGCAAATCAATTAATCGTGATTAAGTCGTCCGACCTTAGATTTGAGTGAGGGAGTAAGTTAATTACCGATTGTCTAAACCGAGAGGGTCGAGTGACACGACCTTTCATCCTTACCTCGGTTTGGCAATTGAGATTGTGGTCTCTGACCACATATGCATCCCTCTGCGGTTCGTGACTATCGTGCCCAAAGCAATCTTTCCAATTCACATAGCATGGTAGCAGTTAGGGGGAAGCGACATCTGAGTGAATTTCCCACAAAAGAGTTTCCAAACCAAATCACCTTTGCTTTCTTTTATTTCAATTAGCAAACCTTTAAACCAAAATTTAGTTGCTAAATAATGGTTTCAACAACTGAAGTAGCGGTAGACGGACCGACCCAGGTTGATATCTAAATACTTGCCCTATACTGACCAGACTAGAGTTTAAAAACTTGGTCTCTACTTGGGGTTTTATTGTAGTGTAGTTTTGTGCGAGTCAAGTTTTTGGCGCCGTTGCCGGGGACAATGGTCTGTTATCTTCAAAAAGTTGTTGGTTTTAATCTAGCTTTTAATTTTCAGTTTTGCAAGTGTGTGTTCTTTGCTTGTGCTAGACTTGGTGTTTTTCGATTGTGTGTAGGTGGTGCATGACCTGGAGCCAAGAAGAAGAGAAAGCCCCGACTTCAATGGGAAGCTTTATGGCTCCACTTGAAGCGAAGTTAGATCATCTGATCGGGGTAATGCTCGAGAATAAGGGGCAAGCAAGCGGGGTAGCAGCACCTATGGAGTGGGGTGCAAGTTGGGACTATGAGGAAGTAGAGTATCACTAGATGACCCACCTTGAAGAGGAGGTGATGACCTTCGTCGCCTCCAGCTCAAAAAAGTTTGAGAGAATCAACAGATTCATTGGAGAGGCAACAGAGAAGTTCTCGACCATCGAGGCGGGGTTGGAGAGTCAGGAAACCCACTTGGTCAACCTAGCCACAAGCATAGGAGTTATTTCGCAAGCGGATCGGTCTTGGAAGTCAGCCGACGAAGTGGACGTAGGGGCTGTTACTCTTCGAAGTGGAAGAGAGGCAAAAGAGCTTCCCCCAAAGAGGAAACAACCCGCAACAAATGAGCAAAAAGGGGGCGGTAATTACTCCTGAAAGCCAGAATCCACCAGTGAAGGGGATCCCAACTCCATGACTTCTCAACCATCCCATCAAGAAGAGGACGTCACTCCCACCCCTCAACCGGAGCAAGAAAAGAGAAAAGCGACCCCAACTCTCTCTTTTCCTTCACGACTCCGCAATGACCACATGGCAGCAAAGTTCTCCCAACTCATGGAGTTGATGAATCAATTGCATTTAAATATCCCCTTCCTGGAGGCTGTCACCCAAATTCCCAAGTAGGCAAAATACTTGAAAGACCTCCTCACCAACAAGAAGAAGCTTGAAGGGGTAGCTACTGTGAGCTTGAATGAGGAATGCTCCGCCCTCGTGCAGAACCACTTGCCCCCGAAGCGTAAAGATCCAGAGAGTTTCACTATCCCTTGCTTTATTCATGATGTGTACATAGGAAAGTCCTTGGCGGACCTAGGGGCTAGCATTAATGTGATGCCCTATAAGTTGTTTCAAAAGATAGAACTAGGAGAACTTAGAGCCAATAGGATGCACATTCAGTTCGCAGATAGGTCTGTAGTACGACCTAGAGGTGTGGTGGAGGACCTGCTCATTAAAGTAGGACCTCTTGTTTTTCCTGTTGACTTTGTTATCTTGGAAATTGATGAGAAAGTTGAGGTCCCCCTCCTCTTGGGTTGACCCTCTTAGCCACCGCCAAGGCCTTGATTGATGTGCATTGGGGAAAGTTGGTGCTTAGGGCAGGAGAGGAGGAGGTCACATTCTCTATTGATGATAGCGTGAAGTTATCTCGTTGCCATGATGATTTTGATTACTGCAAAGAGGTTTTTGACTTCATGGAGGCACTTGCGATTGCGGGTGCCCTTACCTCTAACCCTTTCGAGGAATGTTGTTTGGTAGGAGCAGACGCCCTCGACAACACGGAGAATGGAGGCAAACCCCCGAGAGATCAAGAAACAGAGGCCTTACCCTCAATGCCATCCCTACCTCACTGGAGGAACCCCCGAGTTGGAGTTGAAACCGCTGCCTCCTCACCTCGAGTACGCCTTTTTGAGGTATGATGGAAAGCTTCTAGTCATCATCAATGCCAATGTTACACCAGAGCAGAAGGTAGAATTGATTGGGGTGTTAAGGCGTCATGAGAGAGCAATAGCATGGAAGATCACAAATATCCGGGGAATTGGGCCAAACTTTT